AAATTTAGAGTAGTATTTAGAAGATTTTTTTTTTTGAGAAAAGTATTTAGAAGATTTCTATGGCTTTAAGTTGTGTGTAATACAAGATTTTTGCTATGACACTAGCTAGGTTTATGTGGTAACAAAAGATTTAGGAACTTATTGGAGCTTTACGTATTAAACTTACTTTTAATTTTTAGAGTTTCTTTAATATGGGTTTAATTTAAAACAATGTATAAATATTTGTTTGTGTGATTTGGGTTTAATTTAAAACAATCTATTGGAACTTACGTACGGAGCACATGAATCTGTGTATGTGCATGTACTTGAACAAGCCGGTGCCTTTAATTAATAAATACGAACATTTCAATATATATAAATCGGTTCTCATTTATAAGCAAATGAAAACAAAATATATTATTGATAAACTAATTAATTGGATTCATCTGTATGTGTGCTAAATGCTAATACAAATATATACTTGTTTAAATCCAGATATTTGCAAATCAATTGAGATTTGAGATAGGACACTTAGGATATAGTTTAGATCGTCATACGTCCCATTTATAATATAAGAAGTATATAATATACCTAATATAAACGTCTATTTGATGATTAGTCAGACTAAAAAAAACAACCTTGTCCATAAGTAATAATTATTGTAATTCAATCGGTTTAGTCCATTGGTTGCAGTCATATTGCTAAATATATACATTTGGTCGTTGAGAAAAACTTGTATAGTGTGACTAATTTGCTTATCAGAATTTTTTTTGGTTTAAGAAAAAAGGTTTTACCCCTATTATATATGTAGATCATAGATTAAGTAATTGACTACAGATTTTGGTTTAGAAAATCATTTAGAAAGTTTTGTAACAAGAATTTAAAACATCAGCACTTACAAGAGCCAATTACACAAAAAGAAAACTAAAATACCAAAAATTGGGATTCCACCACTCAAATTTCATCGAAATTATAATTCATACCACTTTGGACTGATGCAGCAGCAACATTCACGCCTCTGCGATTGAGGCTCAAACTGCGATTACAGTTCCCTGAGTTTCGGCAATGAGTCTCTTCTTCTTCGATTTATCTTTCGATTTCTTAGACTTTCGTTTCCTCGAATGTGTATCCTGGTTTGGCTCTTCTGTATCTTGTTCCATTTCAGACACAGAAGCAATAACCTTTTCTTCTTTCTTCTCCTTAGAATACTCTGTCTCTGTAACAAGAAACTGCTTCTCACAAATCTGTCGATCCTACTGAAATGTCTCTGAGAATATGGGATTAACCCTTCCAGGAGTTCTCCAATTCCTTTTACCTGTCCAAAATTTCCAAGATCAAGCCAAAAGAAATCGAGAATATATATATATATATCGGTATTGATCATGAATTTTATAAGCGATTTCACGAGCCATCGCCGCCGAAATCTACTTCCCGTCGCCGCCGATTTCCCGAGCCGACGCCGCCGATTTCCGGTTTCTCCTGGAGTTACCGCCGCCGATTTCACGATTTCTCCGAGAGCCGCCGCCGATTTCTTCTTCTCATTGAAATGGTATGTGTAAATTTCTCATTTTTCTTATGTGTATTATGTTTAGATTTGTATTTTGGGTTTAAGAAAAATGTTTAGAGATTGTAAAGAATGAAATGTATGGATAAATTTGTAGGAAATGGAATTGTAGGAAAGGGAATTTAGGTTTGTTAAGGTGTATGAAAATGTTTTATAAGTTAAAGTTTTGGATATATGAAAAAAAAATTTGATTTAATAATAATAAAATTATTTTTCAAGTTTTGGATTGGTGGGGTGGTGGAAGAGAAAACCTGCTGGCCGAGGAGAAAACCGGCCTTAGACAGTTAAAACGGATCCTTCAAAACCCTTCATCTTTCCAATTCCTTTTCCCCTGTTACTTGGAAATTCCATTGAGTTTGATTGGGATTTGTCTTTNTTAGAACCTTGGGAAGGAAGTCTCTTGAGTGACCACA